TCTTCCAGCCCCTCCCCGAGCTCAAGGAGCAGACAGACTTCGAGTAGGTGCCCCCCTTGATCCCCCAGCCCTGAGACTGGAGCTGCAGCCCCAGGAAGGACCAGCAGAGGCTGGGAACGCAGGGACCATCACGTCGCTGTCTCTCCATCTCTTGCCCAGGCACCGCCTCCCGAAGGAGCAGTGGTGGCTGAAGCTTCGCCCCATCCTGAAGATCCTGGCCAAGTACAACATCGAGCTGGACACCTCGGAGAAAGCCCACCTGGAGCACATCACACGCAAAACGGTCTCCCTCGAGTCCAGCCTCTAAGACAGCTCCTACCCCGGGGCAGCAGCTCCACACCCCAAGGGCACCCGCTGCCATGGCCACAAAGCTGCTTTTCCCACCAAGCAGAGGGTTTCCTCAGGGTACAGTTGGGGTTGGTTTAGGTATTTTACAGGCTTTTTGAAGAGGAAAGCAGTTCCCCACACGTAGGTGGGATTTCACAATGAGCTGAGAGCAAGAGGTCCAGGGAGAGCCCCAGAGACACCACTTTAGCGTTAACAGTTCACAAGGAAGATGCTGCAATAAACTCCTCACTTCCTCGTGGTGGCAAATGTGGAGGGGACAGGCTGTGGTCAGAGGTTAAAGCCATGCACAGCTCGTTGGGATGAGGGTTTGCCAAGGCACAAGCACAGATGGGGCCTGTGCGAGGTGCCAAAACCCAGCACAGGAACAGGACCACCAGCAGCAGCACCCCCAAACGCTGCCCTGAGGCACCCTCCCTGTTCAGGGAGGACCCCAAAGGAGTGGGGCCGCCCCCCCGGCCTCGAGGGGGTGACACACATGCACTTTCCCAAGTTTATTTCCATGGATACACGACAGGGAGAAGGGGCGCAGCCCACAGGGGTCCTGCCCGGTGCCCCGCTGCCAGCACGTCCTCACATGTCCTCCTGAAATCCACGTACACACGCACACGAAATCAACAACAAACAGTGGGTTAACAGCGAAAACCAAAGCTAAGGAAGAGCTTGGGTGGGTTATCGTGTGGCAGGTGGGAGGGAGTCCCATCCCGAGCTCCGAGCGGAAGGAAATGTTCCCTTTGCTCACAGCCAAGTGTTGGCTTGTGGGGTGCTCCCACCCTCTTCCCCCTCTACAGCGGTGACACATCTTAGAGATAAGAAGGGAAAAATACACTTCCAGGCATTGAAGGGATGAGGACACATGAGCTCTTCCCCATCTGCAGGGTGTTGTGGGGTGCTGTGGCCATGTGTGGGTCCAAGCGGTGAGCGAAGGTGCTGGCTGCACTACACACACTTAAGGTGGCTTAATCCACGTCCTACAGGATTCTCTGGGTCTGAGAACACCTTCTCCAAAGGAGGGTCTCCCTGTTCTCCTCACGCCTAGAAAGCCTTCCTTTCCCCAGGGCAAAAAGGAAAAAGGAGGGGAAAAACCAGGTTAATTCATCAGCTGGGGTGTAATTTGCCATGAAAAGGGGACGGTTCATCTCATGAAGGGACAAGAGCGTGGCAGGAGCCGCCAAGCAGGCGATGAGGGCACAGAGACACCACGAGCAGGGTCCCCGGCGGGCGGAGCAGGCTGAAAACCAGCGCGTGGGGAGGGGGGTGCAGCACCCGCGGGTCCCAAACCATCCTCATCCTTCAGTCCCAGCTCAGCTGAGCAGCAGCACGTACTCCTTGAGGCAGGTGGGCAGAGGGAGCTGCTTCACGGCCTCGGGCAGGAACCGCACGCCCAGGCTGCGGCGCACGGCGTATCGCGACAGCGTCTGCAGCGTCCCCGGGGCCGAGCAGAGCAGGGTGAGCTTCTGGCAGAGCTGCTGGTCCCTGGTCACCTCCCAGGGCATGCTCCCATTTTTCCTCAGCTCGAAGTGTCCGATAGCTCGGTGCAGAAGATCGAAGCAGGAATCCTCCCGCTCCGTCCCCAAGCCCCGAACCAGCAGAGCCACCAGGCGGGAGATGGGGGTTTGCCCTTTGAGGTTCACCACACGCACCTCGGCACCGAAGTCCAGCAGGACGCTGACACTCTCCAGGTTGCCCTTCATGGCAGCCCAGCTCAGCGGCGTGTCGTTGTTGTAGTCGAGGGCATTCACCAGGGCCCCGTTCTCCAGCAGCGCCCGCACACACTCCGCGTTGTTCTTGAAGGCTGCCCAGTGCAACGGGGTGTCCTTGTTCCCGTCCAGGGCGTTGGGGTTGGCTCCGTATTCCAAGAGGATTTCCACGCACGTTTCGTCCTTCTCCGCGGCGTAGTGAAGGGCTGTTCGGTTGTAGCCATCCAGAGCGTTCACCTGCACCCAGGGGAGGGAGGAGAAAGGGGGTGGGGATCAACGAGCCTCGTGGCGGCAGTAAGAAGCCC